CCGCGCGCCCCTCCTCGGCCGGCGGCGTCTCCGCCGGGTCCTCGGCCGCGGCGCAGCGCAGCAGCGAGCAGGTCTCCGGGCTCGCCCCGGGCACCTCCTTGTCCCAGACCAGCTCGGTCACCAGCAGCTCCATGGGGCTGATGTTTTCCGAGGGCTCCACGAAGCCCGGCCGTGGCTTCGCCTGCAGGGACGGGGCAGGTGCTCAGCACGGGGGGTGCCGGCCTCGCGGGGCAGCTGGGCCCCGACGCACGCCGGGGAGACGCTGCACGATCCCTGGCCCCTTCCTGGAGCACGAGGTCCCGGTGCTCGTGCTCCAGCTGCTGGGAGCCTCGGCCCACCCTCTCCCCATCCCCCCAGCCGCCCCTGCCACCTTCGGAGGGCGAGATGCGGGCGGCGGCTCACCTGACTCGTCTCGGGAGCTGGGAACTTGACGGCTTCGCTGCTCCCTGGCTCGGGCAGCAGCGGGCAGAGCAGGGTCTTGGCCCTGGGAAAGATTTGCAGCGGGTGGTTAATGGGCAGCCATGCGCTGGGGCGGAGGGACGGGGGCTGCCTGCGCATTCACCTCTTCCTGGCGACCTGGTAGAGCACGGCCGAGAGAGGGACGACCACAAAGATGGCCAGGGACCGGAAGCTGGCCTTCGCCGCCGGCGGCAGGGGGCCTAGGGGCAAGCACAGGCTGCGCTCGGAGGCCGCCGGGGGCCTCAGGACCACGTGCGGGTGTCTGCCGGGGCCCGCGCGCCCCGTACGAGCTGGTGCAATCGTCGCCACGTCCCCGGGCCCCTGCGGCCTGCGAGGCCGGCTCCTGGCATGACCGGCAGCTGTGGCATGGCCTCAGGACTGCGGCTAACGGGCAGTGTGACTACTCCCGCTGCCCGAGCGCCCAGCGCATCCCAGCAGGCTCATGCCCGGGGTGCCACGACCTGCGTCGCTCCCCCCAGTGAAATGCGCTGGGTGCCCAAGGCAGGGTCCTGGGTACCGGGGGCAGAGCTCTGCAGGCCTCTGGCTGCCCCCGAATGCGATGCGATGGGAGCTGTGGCCCTGGGTGCGCAGTCTACACCAGGCTCGTGGGGGAAGCGCAGGGAGGGGGTTGCTCGCATCCCTGCGTGCGTCTGGATTGCGGAGACGTGGGGGTGGAAACCTGCGTCAGCCCCTCCCAGAGACGAGCCCGCCAGGGAAGGCACCCGGGCCATTACCGAGCTCCTTGGTCCTGGACGGGTGCTGCGGCCGGCTGGTCCTAGCTGTGCTGGCCTGGATCTCCGCTCGGTACACGGTGCCGGGCTGCAGGCCCCGGAGGGTGAAGCGCGTCGCTGAAGCGTTTGCTTCCTGATCTGCTCAGACGGCAGTGAGCTGTGAGCTTCAGGAAACCCCTCCTGGCCCCGGGTGCAGCCACCTTCAGCCCCGGCTCTCCTGCAACTCGTCCGCCACCACAGCACCGGCCACACCGGCACAGGGCCGTGGGCTCCCCCTCTCCGCCCGCTCTCACCCACGTTGTTCCCCTTTGCCCTGCGCTCGGCCCGTCCAGGGGTGCTGCGGAAAGGGGAACGGCAGCAGCTGGCAGCGGGTCTGCCTGTGCCTCAGGGGCAGGAAGGGCCTGGTGCCATCAGTGTTTCACGGGCACAGGGAGAGGCGTCTGCCCCTGCCAGCCAAGGGCACGTGGGAGGTCAGGCAGAGCAGTGCCCTGGCGGGCCCCCCACAGCCTCCCCTCGTCTCGTGCTCCTTTCTCGGAGCTGCCCCGTTCTCGCTGCAGGACTTGGCCTGTGCCACCCTGCGCTCAACTACTCACCGGTTCCCGTGAAGTGGTACGTGGCGGCGAACGTGGCCCAGCTGCGCCCGGGTCCCTGTCCGTGAATGGCAATCCGGTACCACCGCCTGGGCTCCAGCACACCTGGAGCGCACACCCGGAGACATTACCACCTGGCGGATGTGCCGCAAGCGCCAGAACCGTGACCCTGCAGCACGTGCCGGGCTGCCCCGGGGCACGGCCAAGACGGTGGCTCTGGCTGCACCTTCCAGCCAGGTTTTTTTCCCCGTTTTCTGGGTTTTGACAGGTTTTGGCACAAGTAAAAGCTGTGACAGCACAAGTCACAACAGTGCCACGGCCGAGTCACGACCTGGGCTAGGAAACCTGGAGACGGTGCCCCGCGCTGAAGCTTTGCCCTTGCCTAGCACGGGCTGCCCGGGTGCATCCTGAGCGCTCCCTCCAACCTCCCAGACTTTGGATGTAGGGTTTGAATTACACTTTGACTCTTGAGGAAGTCTGCAAAAAAAATTGGTCTGCCCATCACGATACCTTAATAAAATCAGAGACCCCGCAAGGTTATGATTTTCAAATCTTACAGGGGGACTTTCATCTCTTATGGGAGGGCTCAGCCCTCCTGAAGTCCCCTTTAATTCAAACCCTGTTTGGATGCGGCCCTTCTCGGCCCTTTAACTGGGAAGCGGGGCCGGGGGGAGAGTCAGGCCACAGGAAAGTGGCGAGGAGGAAGACGTCCTTGCTACCTGTCTCCGTGTACGTGCCCGTCTCCACGAAGGGTTTCTGGATGCAAGCCGCAGGCCTTCTGGCACCTTCCAGCGGCTGCTTCTCAAGGCAGTAGAAGGTGCCGTTGGCCTTTGCTGCCCACTGCACCGTGGTGTTGGCGCCGGCCGTGCTGACAGCCAGGAAGCTGATCTCTGGGGGGCGACACAGGCAGCTGTCTCAGCAGAGCCGGTATTAGGGTGACAATATTTGGATCTTGGGGAGCACTGGATTTGCAGCTGAATAAAGGCTTTAACTTGTGGCTCAGTAAAGCTGCTGACCACGAGGCAGAATGATATATTGCAAATAACAGCGCGAGATGCTTAGGCAAGCAGTTTTCTAAGTGTGGTAGTGTGCAGGATCTTGGTTGTGTAAGGAGAACAAGATGCAGGCCACCGGCTATTGTCAGGAGATAAAGCAGAAGCAAGACCTTGGAGACGGTGCTGAAATCAGCAAGAAACAGCAAGTGTCCCCGGACTCCTCCGGTCACGGTCTTGAGCATGTGCTCATAGCAAAAAGACACCTAAATGAATGAAACGCATAGGTAAGTCCACGCTAATGAAGTAAACAGTAAACAGAGGCGGAGCTTGAGATAGGAGGGAATATGAGTGGAACAAAGGAGGGGCAAAGGTGGAGAAAATGTTAATGACTATGAGCCAAGCTGTATAAACGAGAAAAGAAATAACGTTTGCTGCTGCTCCCCGGTTTGTTGGGTTTTTGGGAGCTCGCCTGAAGCGGTCTCCATTCTGAATAAAGCTGTTGTCTGGCAGTGTGCGCTGGTGTTTGCTCCCCGAGCAACTGGATCCCGAGCAATTGGACCATTGTCTCCCTAGTCCGTTGGGCTCCGCATAGAGTCGGGGTCTGACACCAAGCGGGGGGCAGGCGTGTGCACGTGCACGTGCACGTGCACGCACACTTATGCATTCTGGTGCCAGAGGGGGAAGTAACTCGAGGAAACTCTGTCCCTTACAGCCTGGCAGAGGACTGCTCTGCCCCCCCTTCCCCATGGCGGAGGCAGCAGTGGTCCTGGGAGGTGCCCTGGGGCAGGGGAGGGCGACAGGGTCCCTGTACCTGTGTCCGAGTCTGGCGGGATGTGGCACGTCCAAGCGGGCCCGCATCCAGCCGCGTTGGCCGCGCTCAGCGAGATGCTGTGCTCTGCCCCCGAGAGAGCCAGGTTCAGCTCTGCCACGTCCTTCTGGAGGCTGATCTCGGCCATGGGCTCCCTGCAGCCACACGTCAGCATGCGGACGGCCACGGTGTAGGTGACATTGCCTTGCTCCTCGCTGGCTTTCTGGGGCAGTGGGAAGGGGCATTAGCAGGCGCCCCTGCGCCACGCGGCGTCCTGGCTGCCAGGCTCTCCGGCCTGCTCAGCAGTTGGGAGCTGCTCTCACCGGGGCCACCCCCCAGGTGATTGCGATGTGGCCCTGGGAGGTCGGGACCCCCGAGTACCTGCCGTGGCAGCTGGCATGGTGGAGGGAGGGTGCCCGAGGCAACAGCCCCATCATCAAGTGCTTAAAGCAAGGCTCAGGCTCCCCTTCCCACAGTGCCAGGGACCATGGGGGACGGACCCTCAGGCCAACCGCGCTCGTCAGCAGGGGACAGGGCTGCCCCGCTGGCACAGGCCCAGGAGGCCACGGTACCTGCCATTGCAGGGTCAGGTTCCTCCGTCCACTCTGGCCCAGTCTTCCCAGCGTGTAACTCACCCTGGGCCTCTCAGTGATTTCTGGAAAGGAAGCGGTGACGTGGGCCACGTGCTGGTCCTGGCGAGGCCCTGCCCACTGCGCTCCTGCCCACGCACGCAGCGCCGGGCATGACTGGGAGGTGCTTGAAGCCAGGCTCCAGTGCTTGCAAGGCAGGTCCTGCTGCCCTCACCTGCAGGGACGAGGATGATTTGGCTCCAGTCGCTCCAGGTGCTGCTCCAGTGCAGCATCTTGTGCCGGATCTGCAGCTCGAGGGCGGCCGTTTGCCCCAGGTCGCAGGTCACTAGGGAGCCAAGGCAGCGGGGGCTGAGCTGCGAGCTGACCTGAGCCCGCAGCTGAGACCAGGCCGGGGCATCCTAGAGATCTTGGGTGCCTGCCCTGGGGACGCTGCTGTGTCCTCGGATTTGGCCAAGCTCCAGCCCACGGTGAGAGGGAAGGAGCGACTCGCTGTGGATTGGGGCTGGGCTGCCAGTCGGGGCGTGGGGAGGACCACGTGGTGCCTGGGCAGGATGGAGGAGCCCCCATGGGCAGGCGCCCCCCCAGAATGAGGGCTCTGCCACGGCTGTCGCGTGCAGCCGAGAGCCCCGCGGGGCAGGCATTGTGGCCTCGGCGGAGGCTCGGGGAGGTGGGGGCAGTCGTGCAAGTTGGGTCCCAGCAGGGAGGAGCGACGGGGTGCTGAGCCAGGCTAGGAGCCTCTGCCCTGGAGCTGCAGTAGATCAGGGCATCCCCCTGCTGCCCCCTCGGCGCTGCCTGCACCGCTGGGCCCAGGAGCTTGCGCAGAACTGAGCGTGCCTCGGGGCGCAGCCCAGACCCACCTGCCTCATCCTCGCTCTCCTCCTCGTCCTCCTGCGTCTTGCACTCCACCTGCAAACAAAGCAGACAAGCCTTGAGCTGAGCAACCTGGGCACCGGACACAGCACCGCCGTGCAGGGTACTGGCAGCAGGACACAGCCGTGCAGGAGGACCCAGGTCCCAGTCCCTACCCCCGTCTGAATGGTGCTGGTCTTGGTGCAGGAGGAGAGCACTTGTGAGCGAGCCCTGGGGTACGTGGGGAGGGAATTGCTGGCACGGCCTGGCCAGGTGGATGTGAGCGGGGGATGGCAGACGGGTAGCAACACGGGGGGTGGGGCACGGCTGGTGCTGACGCAGGGCACCAGGGTCGGAGCTGTGGCCTGCCCTCGGCGGGGGTCGCACCCGCGTGGGGCTGGGGCAGCGTCACTGCCACGCATGGGAGAGCAGCTGATGCCCAGGGTGCGTTAGGCTGATGGCTGTCGCCTGGGGCCTCTTCCCTGCACAGTCCCTGCGAATTGGGCTCTGGTCCTCTTGCGATGACATCGTAACCCAGGGCTGGCGCACATGTGTGACTGCGTCATGCAACAGAGCAGCCAGGCCGGGGGCTGCACGGCACCGGGCCCCGAGGGGCTGGGGTGGGTGTGTGACCTGCGCCTGCAAAACCATAGTGACTGCATGGCTGGTGGCTCCTGGCTTCACTGACCAGTGCCCTCCCCGGGGCAGGGTGGGCACACATGCACATGAGCATGTGTGCTTGTGCATGTACGTGCACGCTACAACAGGCAGGAGCAAGGCGGCAGCTGCCACTGCAGCCACATCCCTCCTGCCCAGCTTAGACCCCTCGGGGGTGGCTCAGTGCATCCCTTGAACTCACCAGCGTCCACGTGGTGTCCTTCCCCTGCCGGTGCCGCACCTCCCGCCGCAGCACCACAGCCTTGCCTGCCCTTTCCTCGGCCCGGGGCAGCTGCAGCCTCAGCGTGCCGTTGGCCTTGGAGAAGCTGATCTTGTTGTGGGGAGGGTCCAGTTTGACTGGAACAACACCGCAGCCTTAGGCAGCTGTGGGGTTTGAGGCGGGCGGGGGGGAGCACAGGCCCAGGGAGGTCAGAAGGGGCTTGTGCACATGTATGCTTGTGCACGCACGCCCACTCCCTGGGGGTACGTGGCCACAGCACAAGAAATGCCTCATTTCCTCCCCCCACCTCCCCCTCCCCAGCCAAGGGGCCGAGGGCATGAAGGGCCTGTGGGCACTGAGCTCCTCCTGCTAGAGGAGGCTGGTGGGGCCATGGCAGAGGAGGAAGAGGAGGAGGAGGCCTGGCCACCCCACGCTGTCGGCTGTCGGCTCTCGGCTGTCTGCAGCTCGCTGCTCCCCGCCCAGGGAGCGCCCGCCGGTGTGTGCTGCGGGGTCCAGGCTGCCCCGCGCCGGCTCGCGGACACTCACTGGCGTTCTCCAGCTGCAGCGTGATGTTCCTGGTTCTCCAAGCCCTGTCGCCGCTGCCCGACTCCACCCAGGCCGTGAAGTTTTTCAGGAGATACAGCTTGCGGAAAGGAAGCGTGTAGTGCGTGGTCCTGGCTCCCACGGCCATGCAGGAGGTCTTTGTGCCGTGATAGCTGAGGAGGAAAGCCGGCTCCCTTGCAACGCCAGGCCTTCGCCCTCCTTTGCCCGGGAGCTGCGGCAAGGTGCCGGGGCTGCCCTGTCACCACGCTCCTACCCCCTTCGCGTGCTCTGGTCCTGCCTGGAGCCCGGCCCTCCCAGCCAGCTCTGGCTGCACGCATGGGGGTTGCTCCTTGTGTGAAGGGGTTGGATGCTGCGGGTGCAGAAGCAACGTGCCCTGCCCCGCCCACTGCCGGCACGTCCTACTCACCAGTACTTGAACCGGTAGGTGGCATTGCCCGAGGGGGACGTAGCTCTCCAGGCGCACTGGAGATCGCATCTGTTGCAGCTGCGGTAGCAGAGCAGGTCGGGGTGGTCTGCGGAGCCTGTAGGCACATATGGAGGAAGTGGGTGAAGCTGCTTTTCCCTGCTCTGTGTGCCCCGCGGTGCCGGGCGAGGAGCGCGCTGGCTGGGCTGCGCGGGGTGCGGCTGTGACACGGCTGGTGCTCTGGGTGCACGCGCGAGCACCGTGCTGGGGCTTTCCCAGGGCTCACCTGGCACACAGCTCCGAGCTGTCTGGAAGCTGGGGGGAGAGCTGACAGCACAGAGCAATACCCTGCAGGGCACCCAAGCCGGCTCCACTCACGGTTGGCCTGAGGCCGTGCCTGGGCCAAGGGCCTGACGTGGTCCCATTGCTCCTGCACCCGGAGCTGGCGTGTGAAGAGCGAGCTGGGCGGCCTCCGTGTGTGCGGCCTGGCACCCGAGAGGTTAAGCCAGCATGAGAGGAGCGCTCGCAACGCCGTTCCCCTTTCTTCCTCTGCTCACAGGACGCAGGCTGTGGCCTGGGCCAGCCGCAGCTCGGCTGCGCACTCAGATCTGCCTCCAGGTTTGCTTGTGTTGGGGTTTTCAAGCCTGAGAGATGTAGGTCACCCTCTGGGCTGCTGCCACTTGACAGGTGATGAGCCCCAGGCCCAGCGAGACGCATGCTAGTGCATCAGTGTGCACAAGAGGCTGCGTTTGTGTGCTGTGGGGGTGCACTCTCATGCTTGGGAAGAGGTGTGCAGCATCGTATGCGTGCACGCATCCGTGTGCATGTGTGCGTGCGTGCTCACGCTGGATTGAGAGAGGAGAACAAGTGGACTTTCTGCTTCTTGCTGGCGCTGCGTTTCTCTCCTGAGTCCCGCTGAGGTCTCAGCCCCAAGAGGAAGCTCGTGTGGTTGAAGGTGCCGTTGTGCTTGGCAGGGCCTCTGCACCCCGTGACTCATCCCGGTGCCCCTGGCTGGGACGCCTCCACTCCAGTGCCCAGCGCCTTCCCGGCAGCGAGGCTGAAGCCACGTGGCAGCCCCAGCCGCAAGCGGTGCCAGGGCCCCCGACAGCAGGCTGCCTTCGCGGCGGGGGCTCACGTGCGACCCCTGACCTCCGCCCTTGTCCCACAGAAATGGCAGCCTCGTACCTCACAGGAGACGGGTGCCAGGGCTCGGGCCCCTCCCCAGCGCGGCGCAGTGCCGGGGGAAGGCGCCGGTGGGTGTCACTGGGGCACTCCGAATGAGATGTCCCCGGGGTCCGGCCACAGCCTGGTGTTTAGGGCCTGGGCCGCGGCAGTTACAGCCCCTTCCTGCCAGCAACAAACGGGGCGGGGGGGAGCGCGCCGGGGAGTTGCTGGAAGGGGCTGCATGGAGCGGCGTCACTGCACTCGCAGTGAGAGGAACAGGGACATCTGACCATCGCATCCACCCGGCTCACGCTGCAGCGTGGGAGACCGGTCAGTCTGGAGGGGGCCAGCTCCAGTGGCTCCAGTTTGGGAATTTGGGCACAGAGCCAAGCCTGGGAGACTCAGGCCAGCAAACGTCCGTGGCCCAGCACAGGAGCCTCCCTGCCCCAGAGGAGCTGCCCCGTGCTCTGGGGGAGCCGCGCTCCAGTGGCCTCCCTGGCAGGGGAACCACGGGGATGGGACCTTGCCAGCCCTGCTGGGAGCCCGCCGGCCTCTCCGCCGGCGCCGCTTCTGCTCCCTGATGCCCAGAGCCAGGCGCCGTCCGGCGCCGGTCCTGTTTGAGACCGACCTCGTCCCTAGAAAGCCCTTCTGTGGCCCCGGCCGAGGCGTGTGGGCTCGTGGGAAGAGAAGCCCTCGCTATCGCTTGGGCATCGGTGCCGCAGAAACACTCACCTCTCAGGGGCAGTACGGCCAGCAGCAGCAGCAGGTGCCACAGCATCGTGTTTCCAACAGCTCCCAGGCGAGGGGCCGGGGACCGGCTCGTTGGGTTCACTGCTCAGCTCGCCCCCCTTCAGGGCCCCTCCAGGCGCGGGACCCTGCCCAAGTCTCAGGCAGCTTCTGGACCGGCGCACAACTGGCAGCTCGCTGGCACGCGCGCGTGTGACCGGGGGTGGCCGGGGCCGCCCCACGGTGCGGCGGAGGGCTGATGGCAGATAAGGAGGTGACGGCGTGTACTGGCTCTGACCAAAAGCAAAAGAGAAAGCAGCAGAGCCAGACCTGCTGGCGTGTGCACATGTCTGTGCAGGACACGCAGGCAAGTGTCGTCCCAGCCACAAGCTTGCCACAGGCAGCTGCAGGGCAGGAAAAGCAAGGTAAGCAGAAGCGTCTGCTGGGGCAGGGACAGCGGTCGGGCGGGGGCTGGCTGCTCCTGCGATTCAGTCCGGCGGGGCTTGCGCCGGTTCAGCCAGCTCAGGGACTCCTGACTTAGGGGGCGGCTGTGCTCAGTGTGCCGGGCAGGCCAGGGCACATCTGTTCACACTTGTCCTGTGTGTGTTTGCATGGCGCTGCTGACTTCCAGCCCGAGTTGCACGTGTGCGTGTGCTGTTTGCGTGCATGTGCACATGCACGTGGATTTGTGCCAGAGGAAGATTTCTGGCAAGGTTTTCTGAGCTGGTGGCTTTGGGTCCAACCCTGTGTCACCGGTTTTCGGACGTGAAGGGATCCATGTTGACACAACAAGGTTATTTCAAAGAAGCAGCCTGTTGCTCACGACTGAGGTCTTTGCACTCGAGAAGAGACGAGGACCCCAGAGCACCCGTCATCCTGCGTGTTACTGGGACTCCTCACCCGTGGGCCTGCTCCCCAAGACCCTGCCCTCGTTCCTGCCACCAGCCCTCGGTGTCACTCCTGTGCTGTCACACGCACGGCGCCGTGACCCCACTGCAGGGCCCAGCAGGAGAAGCGGAGGGCCAGGAGGGCCGCTGCCAGGATCGGGGATCTCGGGAGTGGTGGGAAAAGGGCAGCTGCGAAGGGAAGCGGCCGAAACGCCTGCCTCGTGCCCTTGCCGGGGGGAGCAGGTCCTGCTCCACGCGGGCCCGCAGCCCTGCACTGGCCGGGAGCGCAGACGTGAGACCGGAAAGCGAGAGCCGCCCCGACCCCTCTGCCTCCAAGGGAGCGCATCCCCCGGCGCCGTGCAGCCCACGGGGCAGGCCGCTCACGGCTCACGGGGGCCGCGGCACCCGGCTGGCGGTTGTCCTGGTGCAGGCGGCGGGCCGGCCACGGGGC